CCACACCCCACACGGCGCTCCCACACCGCCGGCGTTCGTGTATCCACCACAGGGTTCATGTATCCACCCGGTTATTCCCATATCCACTACAGTATTCATATATCCACTATATTACTCATGTATCTGCCAGACTATTCCTATATCTACCAGATGCTTAGAGACATCCAGTTACCAAGTTACCAAACCACTACTAGTGCTGTTATGCCCATCCCAGAGCGAGGAAGCAGACAAAGTTTCACGAGTCATAGAATCACAGAATGGTTTGGGGTGGAAGAAATCTTAAAAAGTCATCTAGTTCCAACCCGACTGCCAAGGGCAGGGATGCCATCCACTAGATTAGGTTGCTTCAGGCCTTATCCAACCTGGCCTTGAACATTGCCAGGGTTGGGGCATCCACAACCTCCCTGGGCAACCTGTGCCAGTGTGTTACCACTCTCACAGTACAAAAATTCTTCCTAATATCTAATCTAAATTTCCTCTCTTTTAATTTATACCCATTTCTCCTTGTCTTATCACTACAGTTCCTAAAGAAGAGTCCCTCTCCGGCTTTCCTGTAGGACCCTTTCAGATACTGGAAAATTACTATGAGGTCTCCATGCAACCTTCTCTTCTCCAGGCTGAACAGCCCCAACTTTCTCAGCCTGTCTTCACAGGGGAGATGCTCCAGTACTCTCATCAACTTTGTGGCCCTCTGCTGGCCTTGCTCCTAAAGTTCCATGTCCTTCTTATCTTAGAGACAGATCCTTACAGACATCCAGTTACCAAGCTATCACACCACTACTAGTGCCATTTATGCCTGTACCAGAATAAAGAAGCAACAACAATTTCACAGAATCATAAAATCACATAATGGTTTGGGTTGGAAGGGGCCTTAAAGATCATCTACTTCCAACTCCCCTGCCTGGGCAGGGATGCCACCCACTAGATCAGGTTGCTCATGACCCCATCCAACCTGGACTTGAACACTTCCAGGGATGGGGCATCTTTGTGTCTCACCATCCTCACACAAAATTTCTTCTTAATATATCTATACCTACATCTACATCTAATCTAAAGCCACCCTCTGTCAGTTTGAAGCCAATACCCCTTGTCCTGTCAATGCATGCTTTGTAAGAAGTCCCTCTCCAGCTTCCTTGCAGGCCATTCAGGTACTGAAAGGCTGCTATAAGGTCTCCCCAGAGCCTTCCCTTTTCCAGGCTAAACAACACCAACTCTCTCAGCCTGTCTTCAGAGGAGAGGTGCTCCATTCCTCTAAGCACCTTCATTTCATCAAATTTCTCCTGCTTTTCTGAGAAACTGTAAAAAATGTAATGAAAACATTTGCACTCATCACTGGTAGCCCCTTTTCTCAGATATGTACACATGCCTTGTAAGGTGCATGGACAGCATGTGCTCATTCTGCAAGGTGTATTTACAGTGTATTCTCAGAGTAACTGCAGGGTGCAGAGACACCAGAGACATCTTACACATCCTAAAATGGCTCTTTTGGCATGTGGCATACCTGGGAGTCCTGCACAGGGCATTGCAGAGCATGCAGCAGCCTCATGCCAAGCACCTAGCCTTTTGCAGCTACCATGTATCTGGAAGCCTGAGACAAACCTCAGCAGCTTTCATGTTGCATCCAGAAAAACATTTCTGGACCAAAAGGAAGGAGACGCTTTAACCTGGTAGCTGCAGTATGGGCCAGATGTGAAAACAAACAAAACCAGCAGGTCCCAGCTTGCACTGGCCCACTGGCTACATCCTTTCTTCTCTCTGACAACCTGACCTTGAAACACAGGTACCTACAAGCAATATCCAGTGTTGCAATGGGCTGTAGGTGTGGGGGACTGCTGTGATAAAATCATGAGACCTGTTTGCAGCCCTAGGACTACAACACCCAAAAAAGGCCCATGGCTCTTACTAGCCTTCTGTTCCTGATGCATTACAGTATACTACATTGCAATCATACGTTTCCTTTCAAAATAAACTGCAAAGCAGAAAAGTTCCACTGCTCTGTTAACCTCAAGGTAGAGAAGTTTTTCCTCATATTCAGATGGAACATCCTGTGTTTAAGTTTGTGCCTGTTGACCCTTGTCCTGTTGCTAGGCACCACTGAAAAGATTCTGGTCCCATCCTCTTGATGCCTGCCCTGAAAGATACTTGTAAGCATTGATAAGGTCCCCTCTTAGTTGCCACCTCTCCAGCATAAATAATCCCAGCTCTCTCAGCCTTTATAAGAGAGATACTTCAGTCCCCTAGTCATCTTCATAGCCCTCTGCTGGACCCTCTCTAGTATGTCCATGTCTCTCTTGTACTGAGGAGCCCACAACTGGACACGGTACTCCAGATAAGGCCTCAGGGCAAGATCGATTCCCTTGACTTGTAGCCACAGTCTTCCTAATGCACCTCACTGGTGCATTTTGGCCATAAGGGCACACTGTTGTCTAACTTGCTGATCACCAGGACCCCCAGGTCCTTCTCTGCAGAGCTACTTTCCAGCAGATCAGCTCCCAGCCTGCACTGGTGAAAGAGGTTATTCTTCCCCAGGTGCAGGATCCTGCACTTGCCTTCCCTGAACTTCACTAGGTTCCTCTGCTCCCAGCTCTCGAGCACGTCCAGCTCTCACCAAATGGCAGCACAGCACTCTGGTGTGTCAGCCACTCCTCCCAGTTTTGTATCATCAGCAAACTTGCTGCAGATATGCTCTCTCCCTTCATCAAGGTAATTGACGTATAAATTGAACAAGACTGAACACAGTACTGACCCCTGGGAACACTGTTTGCTAGGGGCCTCCAACTACTCTCTGTGTCCCTGATCACAACTCTCTGAGCTCTGCCATTCAGCCAGTTTTCAATCCACCTCACTGTCCACTAACACAAACCACACTTCCTGAGCTTACCTATGGGGATGTTATGGGAGACAGTGTTGAAAGCTTTGCTGAAGTCCAGGTAGACAACATCCACTGCTCACCCTTCATCTACCTAGCCAGTCATTGCAACACAGGTGGCTATCACATTCGTCAAGCATACTTTCCCCTTGGTGAATCCATGTTGACTTCTTCCACTTGCTTGGATGTGACATCTAGGATGGGCTGTTCCATCACCTGTCCAGGGATGGAGGTGAGCCTCACTGGCCTGCAGTTTCCTGGGTCCTCCTTCTTGCCCTTTTTGAAGACTGGAGGGACATTGTCTTTCCTCCAGTCCTCAGGCACCCCTCCTGTTCTCCATGACCTTTCAAAGATGACAGAGATTTACTTAGCAATAACATCTGCAGCTCCTTCAGCACCCTTTGAACCCTCTCACCCTACAAGCCCAGCGCTGGTTTGCCTGCTCATAGCTACACTCTTGAGTGAGGGAGCAGCATACTTGTGAGCAACCACCAGGACATTTTCTCCCCATAGCCTCTCCTGTACTGTCATTATTTGCTTCCCTCCTGTCTTTCTTGCTTGGTGGTAATTCCCTCCTTGGCAGCTGCTGCCTTGCCTTGCCTGGTCACTGCCAGCTCTTCACTTGACTTACATTCATGATTAACAGGCAACTTGCAGCAGCTTCCCACCTCTTGCTCAGCTGCCTGGTCTGGTGCAAGGCCAGCATCACAGAAAACAGTGTTTGAACAGCAGCTGCCATTGCTCCCAGGGCTGCCAGCTAATACAGCCAACCCACAGAGCACTGGGCAGACAGAGTCGAGCAGCAATGGCCAAAAAGGAACAGGAACATTTCTTTTCCCCAGCTCTGATGATTTGAATTGACATGGAAGAAGAAGGTATACTTTAAAAATGCTTGTTTGTGCACAGAGTTTAAGAAAAGCTATGTGCATCTCAAGACAGTGAAGGCAGCTGTGTAAGAGAGCTGGCTTCATAAACAAAATGGACCAAAATGTTCCACAGGCACTTTTCTGTACACTGGGGCCTGCTTTAACAATGCCCCATTTTAAAATGTGAGACAAAAATAAAAGCAAGATGGAAGGCAAGTTATCTCAATTAATTTTAATCAAGCTACAAACTTAAGTATATACAGCACCTCCAGAAAATAATCTAGTCCCCATTGTCTGTGTCTGTCTGAGAAGTCATTGACTTTTTCAAGACACTTAATTTCACAGCAGTTGCCTGAAAAGGAGGGAAGATTAACAAATTAGTAAATCCTTAGTCACTGAAAAATGCAAATTGTCAGGAAAATAAAAACTTATCCACAGATTTCCTCACAGTCCCTAATGCAATGAACACAAATGCAGTGGGATACAACTGCCCATGTCAATGACGTACTGCACACAAACAATGCAGAGGTCTCAGAAAGCTGCAAATTTAAAAGAAGTGGAATACTAATGCATATCAGGAGGAATTTTTAAAATTAAATTCCCACCATAACTCTAACTTTCATTATTTCTATGGATTTGAGTTGTACATTTTTAGCATTTTCTTCACGTAACACTTTAAGTTCTTATTTTGGCACAAAAGTACAGCAGGAACTGTAGCACTGGTAGGCCATGTATTAAAACCATGGCAGCTGGATGATGAGGTGCAGACAAAGACAAAATGGTCAAATGGGACTAGGACTGCAGCTGCAAGATTACTGAGTGCAGTATGACTCCTGGGAGAATAAAACCTGCCAAGGGAGGCAAGAGACTGTTTGTCTCTTGGGTTTCTTCTTCCTATATTTTGAAGAGCTGAGAATTTTTCTTGACAGCAAAACTCCTGTGGTGAAATGGTATTTATTTTTCCCGTTATTTTTCCATGACTCCAGCCCTTAGATAAGGCTCTATCACTCATTACAGGGAAAGCAGAGACATATAAACATGTTTAGGTGTTTTGGAAAAAAATTCCTAAGGGTTACTTGAAATATGACTTACCAAATAAGGTTTGAATCTCAGATTCAGGAACATAAAATGGTGGGCCTGAAAGAAAAGGGGTGAAGCTAATCAGAGAGAAGACACGGGAAGAAGGCAAACATTTACACTGCAGTAGGAGACCCCTTCCCTTGCAGCACCTGGCCT